CACGGAGCTTGCAGCAAAATGAAACTTCATTCTCCCTGCAGCATCTTTCTGCATGGGTAAAAATAGTTTCTGTCTCTCAATTGAGCTGCTCAGGTTATCTTCCAGAAGTGCTTATTGTTAGCTTGCTTTTGCAGACACTGGAACAAAGGTACCGTGTGCTTCAGTGGCTGCAAAACTGAATTGCCCTCAGGATTGCTGACTGCTGCTGCTGTGACTCTGCAGAAAGCTCCGGGAGAGGTGGAGCAGCAGCAACGCAAGAGCTTGCAAACATCAGGCCACCCCAGAGCCATGGGATGTTCTCTTCTGGGCAGCTAGAGAGGGGAGGGGAAAACAGGTCAGCTCTGCCCTTGCTCTGAGCATGAGCCTGGCCTGACTTGTGCACAGCCAGGGACATAAACCTGCAGAACTTGTAGGAATTCCTCTCGCTCATGTACCATTCTCCATCTGTCCCATGCCTCCCATGGATGTAATTAACTTCTGTGTGCTGCCTCTCCAGAACTCAGTTATGTGCCTCTTTCTGTAATGCTTGACCAAAACACAGCTATATCTGGAGAACTACAGGTAAGGGCTCTATGTTCCAGCTGTAGTTTACCTGAGCAGAGGAAGGCAGGACAATTCCTGCATGCCCCTCTGACCCCACTTAAGTCTTCCAAGGCAGTGGTTGCCAGGATTGCTTTAATACCTGGAGGATCCCTTGGTTTTATTGGTCTGTGTTCAAGGTTCACGGCTAGTTTGACAAATGCCTAACACAAAGACTTGGTGTTTCCATGATAAACAACCCTTGTGTGCTTAAGTGGGGGTGTACCTATAACATCCGGAGGCTTTAAATAAGGTTTAATGTGTTCCTAAATGGACTGTAAGCGTTTCAGGGCAGGTGCACTCTGGTGCAAAGATACCCCAGTGCCCTTAAATCATCATGGAATGGTTTGGGTTGGAAGGGACCCTAAAGCTCATCCAGTTCCAACCCTGCCACGGGCAGGGACCCCTTCCACTAGAGCAGCTTGCTCCAAGCCCTGTCCAACCTGGCCTCAAACACTGCCAGGGATGGGCTGTGGCAGCTCTGATGCACTCTTTCTATCCTTCTTTCCTAGCTGCTGCAGGTGGAGCTCTGAGCACCCATGGTATGTGCACTGTCCCTCACATGCAGGTTTGCACTCTGAAGTTCCAGGCTGTTTGCAAAGTTACCTTTTCATTTGGAGGTAGAAAAGTCGTTCAGGCCATTTTGCATGGATACTCCTTCCAGTAACCGTTATAAAGGGTTTCGGCCTCACTAGGTAATCCATTAACAGGGTGCCAAGAGAGGTTTTTCCCTGTTGTGTTAAGGATCTCCAGCACAATGTTCTTGAAGGGCTCTGTTTAGTCTGGGAAGATTCCAGTTATGTGTCAAACACGTTAAATCAGTGTAATTTCTATGATTGCAAAGGAATGGAGCTTCCTCTTCTCTTTCACCTGCAGGCAGGTGGTGATGGCAAAGGACTTTTAAACAATAGCTTTATCCATGACTTTGAACCAAATCTTACTCAATAATCCAGCCCCTCTCTCGGACTCGGCTCCCCATCAGCCTGGTCGTGGCTTTGGTCCATCCCCACAACCTGAATAATTCTGCTTTTCTAGCAAAGCTGCTGTTCCTGTCAATGTCCTCTGCTGTGGTGCTGACCCCCGGTGGTTGCTGTGCTGGTGCCTGCTTTGCAGTGCTAACAGTTGCTTGGGTATGACCCAAGTGCTCGTTTTAAGTAAATGAAGTTTTCTGGGGAAAGGGAATGTATTCTGAGAGACAGAACAAACGTTTTCAAAGAACCTCAAACTCGCTTTTTAATTCTTTTTTCCTTGTTTTATTCAGTTTGGGGAATATATTCCCAGTGACCTAATGCAGAACTGAGAGCAGTTTGTTTGTCATGAGCTTATCTTTCCATTTTCTGTCTGTTTGTTAATATGCTGCGAACATGGACTTGAAAACCAAAGAGCCATCATCACAAATCCGCATGGATTTGAGTCAGGCTACTGGTATGGGTAGCCCCAGCTGAGTTGGTTGCTTAGAAATAAGTAGGAAAAAGACTTTTTGGGCTTGGATTTATATTTGTACATGTGCTTTACAAATAATTACTTAACCTAAAGCTGAGAATTTCTTTCTGCTCCCCAAGAAGAGTTAATCATGTGGGAAGTACCACAAATAAATCAAGAGTTATTAATGTTGGCTGCCCAAATTGATGTGAGGATTTGTTTTCTGTAAACTGCAAAATGCTGCTTTTGCAGATATAAAAAAGCTTGTATCTTCCAGGCGAACTGTAAATGAGCTGGAAGGGTAATTTAACAGTAATTTAACATTAACATTTTAACATGAATCTAACATTCACAGTTAGTTAAACTGGATTAACTCCTGTAAAGATTTCTGCACATGTAGGACCCCCAGAAAAGGCATTGCAGAAGTGACTTTTTCTCCCCTATCAAGTTCTGCATTTTCATTATAAATTTGATATTCGAGTCCGAGGTGGCAAAAGGGAGTGCCATGATTTTCTGAGGGTGGAATATCTATTGTTCACCATGTGGAAAACACTGAAGACCACATACTCTCCAGCTCTGATGGCAAAGTACACACAGGAAAGTTTAAAATACAGATGACATTCTTCTGAATCTAGCTACAGGGATCTAATGCTGATTATCCTATTGATCCGGAGTATTTTACTGTGTTCCAGGTACACCTAGGAATCTGATACTTAAAATGTTGCCAACGATTAAGCATTCATTTACATTTATCTACATAACTAACTCGGGCTGGAGCTGCTGTTTTGCCTCAGCAGTAGAACAGGGTGTTTTAGCTAGTTTTCCTTTTTTTTTTCCTCCTCCTTCCCTTTCAGTTTTCCTAACCCAGCTGCCCACCGTTACCTGGGAATGCCCCAGTGCTCTTTGACTCCAGGAAAATTACATCTCCCTGTAGAGAGAGGGATTTTGTTACGCTTAAACTTTCATTGAGCTTGATAATGTTTCACTTGAGGCTTTCTGCTTTCATTCTTGTTGATTGAATTAGGGAATCCTGGCTCAAGATTGATGCTTCCCCCTTCCTCCCCTTTCCCTTGGGGAGTGCGTTTTGTATGAAGTTTAAAATGATTAATGGGAGAGCGTGATTGTAATCATTTATTTTAAGAAAGCCTGAGTGGAAATTGTTAGGCTTTGATACCCGTGCTTGTGATCTTAAACAGGGATTATTGGCTTGCCTGTTATCTTGCCTTTTACTGGGCATTTGTTACAGCTGCCAGTCCGTGGCAAAACCTGGTTTCGGAAGTATCAGCTCAGGGTCGGTAGGTTAATGATGGGAAGGATTTCCTCAGGGCTCACTGTTCTCATCTATAGGCTTTGAGCATTTTAAATGGACAAATCCTAATCTGGCTGGTGCTGCTTTCGTTTAACTACTCGCCAGTTTCTCATTTAGACAGGCCAGGAGAGGGAGGCAGAGTCCACTGCAAAGCAGAGTCCAACTCAAACGCCTCGGAGTTTATGAGTATAAAAAGGTTTGTACTGCATCAAACCCACAACTGCACCACGGGGATCTCCTGCAGTTCCTCACCATCTTAAGCCATTGCTAGTGGCCATACACAAGGGACATGAGAAGCTTGCAGTATTAAGTGAAGCTGTTCTGTGCTCCAAGTTACTATCCATCCATGCATCCATCCATCCATCCATCCATGCATCCATCCATCCATGCATCCATCCATCCATGCATCCATCCATCCTGCAGTAACACCAACTCTGCAGCACTTACAGTCAAATTCTACTTTGCTGGCAGCTCATGGTACCCCAAGGATGGGGGGGGGGGGGGGGGGGGGGGCATTGCCATGTGTGAATGGGTCTGTCAGATTTTAGGCTGAAGCATAATTCCATGAGGTGATGGCTGTTTCAGGTTAGCTAAACTGTTACAGATTTAGGTTCATTTCAAGGTAATTTGGCTAATTTAATGTCATTTGATGATTACAAGCAGTAGCAGCATTTGGTTTATCAAATAGGCCACGTTTGGCATAAATTCAATGTGTCTTGATAAATTCTAATTCAAGAAATGTTCATCTATATAAATCATGTGGTGGGGATTAAAATGGCAAAAATAAGTAAGAAAATAAAAATAATTAAAAAAAGAAAATAATAAAAAAAAGTGAAAATCAGAGCTTTTGTGCCTGTGGCTTTCTCCATTGTGAGAATGTTCTTAGTTTCCCAAACTGAATAGCAAAATCCAAAAGGACAGCTCAGTCTTCTCTCAGCAGCCCAGCTGCTATCTGCCATTTTGCTGTAAAAAAGGTGTTTCAAGGAAATAAGAAATCTTTTGGGAAGCTCTAGCTCTTACAAGAGTCACATCAAAGGCCTCTCGTGCTTCTGGGGATCAGGCCAAATTCATCAAAGAGTTTTTATAGAGTTCTGCCCTGTGTAAAAGTTTTATTGGAGGTCCTGGGCAGCCTTCAAAACTCTTCTGGACTGCATCAGTTTGATTTAACTCAGCTTCATATTAGAGCAGTTGATCTAAAATTAGCTTGGAGTATGGGCACTCTCCTTAATACAGGATTTTGCCTGGTATGTATTTAGGATTGACACTAGGACAGAGTGACCAAGGATATGACAAAAGCCTTTGCATCGTGGCTGAGTGTGAGGAAAGTTAAATTACTGCTTGGTGTTGCTTGCAGGACCCCAAGGAAGCATGGAGTTACCCAGGTCAGAAATAACTTACCTAAAATGATTGTGATTAAACTCAGGACAAGCTGCACGTTGAATTTCCTTCTAGAGAAAAGCCTTTATCTAAATAAAGTTCTAGTGAACATTTACTGTCATAATTCGGTGGTAATTCTGCCGGGGAATTCTTCTCAGTAACTCTTATTATTAATTAGTTCAGCCAAAATAGGGGATTAATAAATATTGCAGCACTCTTGATGTGACATTCCTTGTTTATTCCCGTTTTACACATAGCATATGTGAGGAACAAAGGCTTTTCCTCACTTTTGGTAGGTACCAAATTAGGGATAACGGGAATCTTGTGCGTGAGGAGGCCTTGGTGTCTTCTAGGCCTGGACCAGTAAGGAATGGTATTGAAAACCTTGGAAGTAAGGGCTCTTCCAACTAGCTGGTCTGTCCCTCAAAACCACAGCAGCCTGACTGCAAACCTGAGCATGGTGATGCTCTGCCACACAGGCTGGGGTGTGGGTGCTCGTGCAGCTTGCTCCAGGCTTCTGCTTCATGTAGACGTCCTGAGTGGCAGCACAAGGGATGGTGGTGGGATCAGCCTGAGAACAAAGTAAGCTGCTCAGCCGAAGCTTCTGTGATGTGTTGGCTATTGATTTTGCCAGCAAATACACCTGAGGCTGGGCTAACCTTTCTCCAGCAGCAGCCTGAGAATTAGTGATGACATTTCTTGTTAGGAAATAAGCTCCATGTACCACTTTCTGCCCATGTTACCATGGTTTCCCCCACCCCTTTGCAAGTCTAAACCATTAGCACTCTAATGCATCATCTAGGTGATGATTTTTCATGGCTTCATGGTCTACTCAGACCTCTCTGGTCTTGTCACTGAGACATGACAGCGTTTTTATAACTCTCTTGCTGAGAACAGCTAATGGGAGTGCTCAGCAATTGAAAGGTCAATGTGATAAGGAGTGTTCCCTTAGGTACCTGCATTCCCGTATTAAAGCCTGCGTGAGGAGGGAGCGTGGCACAGCGTGAACCTGACTTAGTGACAGACTACAGTAAAAATGAGGAAGGATGGGTGTTGAAGTCACTCTTGTTACCCATAACCTGGAGTTTCGTGAGTGCTGGAAGGGGGCTGTTAGGCTTATGACCAGCTCCTTTAATTTATTTTACTACATGGAAAGAAGCGTCCTTCAGGGTGCATTTTTTGTATGTGTTCCGAAATGGTTTTTAAGTATCTGCTGTGGTGCCATTATTTCCTTTAATAAACAGAAATAAGAACAGGACGAGAGAGAAGCTGCTGGGGTTGTTGCACTATAGCAGAAAGTAACATGTTTGAAGAAAAGCATTTGCTGTGTTTACTAGGGCACATGTAGCTAATAAATGGATGAATAATTAAGTGAACTTATACATAATTAACTCTGCAGTCTGTGGGCATAGGACCAAACTGGCATTTGTCAAGGCACATGTGTAAGCTCAAATCCTTATGGAAGAGCAAAAGGCTTTGAGCAAGTATTAGCTGTTTTCCTGCTGAATTTCTAATTAACCCGGCTGGGGGTTATTTTGTTTGTATTTGTTTTATCAGTATCTTTTACTGTTCCACCACACGTGTCCCAGCCCTACAGCTCATCATGTATGGTGTGATTTATCCCTTTCTGTCCAACGCTTCAAGCTTCACTGCGTTATTTTGTGTAGCATTCCACATAGAAAATGCGGAGTTGCAAAACTTCTTGATGGAATTCAATATGTAAAGCTCAGTGTGAGTCAGGGGAAACTGAAGACACAAACTTGAGGTTCTCTTAAATTTTATGGTTTTTTTTTTCAGCCTGGTTTTAGTTTTTCTCCAGCTTTGACCTCATTTTTTTTTAATTTGGTTTTAGAAGCTTATGTTTTCATTCATATATGTGTCCTTAAATGGATACGAGATGAATTTAAGCATTTTTGCAGGTGTATTCCACTCTCTGCGACTGAGTTATTGGGTAAGGATCTGGTCCTTGAAGATCCTGAAGGTATTTGAGCAGCTCTGGCTCCCCTTTGCTGCTTGGGGTGTAAATGAGTAGTGAGTAGAGCGAGTGGCGGTGGAGCCATCTCCTCTGTTGTTATGGGAACACCAGCAGTGGGGTGCCAGGGAAGGCAGTAGAGATGGTATTTGCTGAATGACGTGTAAAATCAGAGCTCTGGAAGGAATGGCTCTTCCCTCCTTAGAGAAATTTATGCTTTTGTAGGGCTGATCTGAAAACAAGCTGCTTGGAAGTGATGCGGGGTTTGGAGGTGTAATCCATGCTGGTAAAAAAGTATGCTTTATGTCTGTGTGTTATTGCTCTGCAGCCATCTGCATGCTGTTACCTGTGGATGCACATCTCCATCCTGCTCTATACTATCACAATAACTCTGTCATAGCTGCTTGAGGCATGCAAGCCCTCCTTCACTGCTCTCCTGAATGGCTTTTTGCATTTTATTGAATTATTGTGTGCTTCAGGTCCTGAGGTTCAAATCAGGGTCTGCAGTGCTGAGCTACATCTGTTTCACACTGTAATAACAGAGGCTGTACAAGTGTTCAATACAAACCAACCTGCACTTTGAGTAACAAGTCCTCTTTGAAGCATGAATAAAAAAGAGGAGGCAAAGTCTTGAGGGACGTTGTGGGGTGAGACGATGCAGACAGGGTGGCTCCAGTGCAGCTGTGCTTTGCAGCCAGCAATGTTCACAGACCAGTGGGTTAAAATCAGCAAGCTGCTCTAGTGGAAGGTGTCCCTGCCTGTGGCAGGGGTTGGAACTGGAGGAGCCTTAAGGTCCCTTCCAACCCAAACCAGTCTGGGATTCTATGCTGCTGTCCTTTGCCATGGCCATGCACCCAGTCCATAGGCTGGCATGGGAATCTAAGTAAAGCTTTCTGGCAGTGACTGTGCATCTCTAAGTCTAATGTTTGGAGGCTACTTTAGTATAGATCCATTTTAGGCTATTTTAGGTGGAGGATATGAGCTGGATAGTTCTAGACTTCATCTAAAATACTTTTTCCTACTTTAAGACAAGGCAAAGCCTTCTACATTTTGGAGCCTGTTCAAGCATGAAGTTCTGAGCTACAGCAAAGTATTTCATTTCATTACTTTTCACTCCATCTTTCTTCCTAAAAATGTCTAAAACACACATAACATTAGAAATGCTTGGTTGCCTAACAGTGAAACTGCAGAAATTTTGGCACTGGATCTGATTGGAAATTCAAATGGGCTTTGCTAGTGTGAATCTGAATTCATCTTTCAACATAGTACACGTGGAAAAGGAGGAGGGGATGATGTTACTAGAAGTTAGAATTTATGTAATAATTTGCATAGACGATTTGCAGCATGGAGGTGTCTAAATAGTATTAAACCTCATGTTTTAAAGAATAGAATCAGGAATAATGAAGGTGATTTTTTTTTTTCTCGTCTGAAAAAAGTGAGTTGCATTTAGTTACTGTGTTCTATTTTTAGAAACACTGAGCTTCCTAAAGTCTCTCTAAAGCTTCTCTAACACTTGCTGTGCCTGTAGGGGCTCCAGTTGTAGGGCCTGGGTCTTGCTGGTTCATTAAATCCATGGAAAGGCTGGAAAGCTGGAAAAGGCCATATCCCCTGTCCCCATCCCCAGAATAGAGAGGGATGATGCTTATGCTATTGCATACTTCTGTTTTGCTTTCCAGGTTCTTCATAGGCTTTTTTCACTTGATCATTTCACGTAACTGCAAGAAAAATCACTAAAGCAGCGACCTCTCCCATAGTTTCCTTAAATATCATTATTTCATAATGGCCATTTTTCACTTTTTCACTCTCCTCCCTGCCTTCACCTAACCAGGGATTAGAAGCTGCTGCTCATCAATGGCAAGTTTAAATCTGCTGATACCAGCAGATAACTGATATCAGTTATTAAAGGGAGTAAGAACAATGTGGCATAAATCTGTGCCTTATCTTGCAAACAAAAGTAAATGCTCTTCAGTCTAACCTCCAACTGGAGAGAGGCTACAAATGTGCTCATGCCTTGGTTTTGGAAGGGAACAAATGATATAATGATTAATAAAGATCAGTAATGTAATATTACTCAGTTTGTCTTTTTTGCCATCAAAGACTCAAACGCCTGTTACTCTGCTCAAAAGCTTAGCACAAGAAACTGCCTTTAGGTCAAGGAAAATTTACTCCATATATTAATGTAATCACAAAAGAGAAACTTCCTTCCTGTGATGATTCCCTCTGGACAGCCCAGGAAAAGAATCATTATATCAAAAAATCAAGAGTTTTACAACTCACTGCAAATCTGATTACTTTGGTGTCTTTGGAAAAATGCAAGATTCTTCTTTTTCCCTTCCCCTTCTGTAAGAGCACTTCATTTTTAGGGGCTGTTTAGTGAATCTGAATCGCTGAGGAGCAGGTGTAGGAGGTCTGAACAACATCTGTGTGACCACGGATGAAAACATTATGACCATTATGGTATAATAGACAAGAATATCTTCTGGTAGATGTGCCAGAGCTGTGGGCATGGATCTCCCTGTGCATGTGCCTGTGCATACATCCCTCTTCTTCACTTCAACAGCTGGCCTGGGAATTGCAGGGCTGTGTGTTGGCTTCTTGAAGCGGAGCTGTAAATCATAACCCAACTGCACAAAAAGGCACCTCTCTATTGAAAAGTCAGTAAGCTTTGTCAGAGATCTGATCTGCTCCAGTTCCCAACAACTGCTTTTTACTGCTGGTGCAACACAGGCAGTACAACAAGCTGGGGCTTTAATGTGATGGATGAAACAGGGAAAAGAAACCCCAAAGTCAACCCTTGTCTGTGGAGCTTTGAGCATTAAGACCTTTCTTTCTGATTTGGAAGTGAGAACAAGGTATTTCTGGAATCAATTATTTTAGCTTGGAAACTTAGCAAGTTTTAGCTGAAGGAGGTAGCTATGCCATAGCTATGAAGGAGAAGATATGCCAAAATAGCCAGCATATTTCCACATTTTTCTGTACTGCCACTACTGATACTATAGAAGATAATACTATCTATAGTAGTATCTATACTCCTAGAGCTACTCCTTTTTGTCATCAGATCCTTCTACATCCAAGCTAATAGGTTAGCTGCAAAAGGAAAAATATTTCAGAAGATAAAAGAAGTTTTTCCTAATATTAATCCTTGAAAAATAACCAAACATACTTCTTTCTGTATTTACCAGCTAATCTTTTAGATCTGATGCTTGTGTGTAGGAGGCACTTGCTTATTTTACACAATGCTTTGAGATCAGTGGAAATGAAAACCAGCATAATTACCCTCTGGCCTTTTATCTTTCTGTGGTATCATCTCTAGAGAATGCCAGGAGAGGGTAGAGAAGCCTTTGCACAGTGGATAATCACAGCCATTAGAGGAAACAACACTAACTTAACATCACCTGATTTTTCTCACTAAAACATAGATATTGGAGTCAGTGTTGATCCATTACTGAAATCATGCAGCCAAGAAACAGCCACACTTATGGTAGGACCCACAGGAAAACCTGAGCTTTGGCTATTCTAGTAAATTCTTTAAATATTCAGAGGGTTGGTATGCTAAAATAGGGGTGATGGACACAAAGAACATGAATGACTGCTTTAAGTGCAAAGTACCAGTCAGCCATAATTACAAATTTGGGATCAATGCTGCTGTATTTTGACTGTGTTGGTAAATAATTAATGGGGGAGTGCAGTGCAAGGATGAAAATCTCCTTTTCAAACTCTGTCTTGAGTGAAATGTAAAACTGTATCTGAGCAAATGCTGGTGCTCTTTAAAAGAGGGGAAGGAAAGGACCGGATTTACAGTGCAATTGGAATTTCAGAAGGGAAGCAGCAGTTTTATTCAGTAGTTAAATGCACATGAAGTGTTCCACCCTCTCCGGTTTGTCATTATCCCTGATCCAGAAGCAGCAGCTGAGTGAGCAGGATCTCTAATGGTGTGGGGAATATTCACGTGTCAGTAAGATCTTGACTGAATGTCACATCCACTTAGTGCTGTTTAAAGGAGAAAGGAAATCACTCTGTCTCGCACCCCTGAGAAAGGTCAGCCCATCCATTTATCTCTGTTTGTCTGAAGCCAATTGGAAGTGTGATGCAAGTTTGTCACCTAAGGATTTTTTTTTGAAAATGGGTTTGTTAAGGGACAAACCACCAGCAGCTCTGAATTCTCGTGCTGGTGCTTCACTTTCCTAAAGCCTGTGGGGTTAAAATCCACTTGTGGCTCTGTCTGGTGTGCGTTCTGGTGGAGAGCCCAATGGGGATGCTCTCTACACTATCTCTTGGTTGTAATACTGGGTGTATAACAGGGTAATTCTCACTAGAAATCTTGTATGTCCTTATATTAAGTTGATTTTAGTCAAGCCTACACCACCATCCTCAAACAATGGTCAGTTGCTGTAGTGCAGTTTATCTGCGGAGAAATTTGCAGTGACACTTGAGGTTGTGCCCTGGAAATCAGTTAACATTCAGTATAATGCAAGGATGCTGGTCCTCATAGGCTCAGAAAAGAAATGTATTTTCCAAATATTTCAGAAAGTAATGGTAGTTTTTGTTTTCCCTCTGTCTTGGTGCACCTTTGAATGGTTCTGTAGGCAAAATAATGTATCATCATCCCTCCTTAGGGATGCAAGGTGGGAGGGATGCGAAGGTGCTATATTTACCAAGGGAGAAGAGGCAGCAGTGCAAAATGAGGCTTGTCCCTGGATGGAAGTAGCTTGTCCCTCTTGAGCTCAGTTCACTGCTGTCACTCCACTTACTGCTGAATGTGGCTGATGAAATTTTACCTAGAATGCATAAAATGCAATCCTATTAAATTCTCATTTAATCTGAGGCAGAAAGCAGCTACCAGTGCACGCACAAATGCTGCTGTGATGAGTGATAGGAGAACAAGAATGTCAGCTGTTGCATGGATTTGCAATAGAGTGGGAATAGAGGAGGCTTTGGACATAAACATGTGGGCAATGCTCTTAATGTGCTTTGGTGCAACAGAGCATGGAGCTGATATCAACATCCTACCAAACACCATCCTTAAACCTTGGTAGTCTGATCCCTTGTTTTAATTTTCAGCTGTCTTAAAATGCATCCTGATAAACTGTTGATAAATCAAGTAGCTACCATCAGATGATCTGTAATGGAGCATAAGTGAAGCTGTAATAAAGCAAATAGGCCCATCCATATCATTCTAGATTTGCTTTTGAACTGGTATAGAAAGTGCTGAGACAGAGATGAAGTGGCCTGATGATTTAGGAAGAAGTGGATGAGTGTCTAAATAATAAATGATCCCAGGGAAAATGTCACATGAGAGGTTTTATGACATATGTTAATGTTGTAGAATAAGTTACATTGTCAGGGAATGGAAGTATCAGATTTGTACAATACTCCATGTGATGAAGTGTTCCTCATGTGAGAGGTGCTGCTACAGTCACACCAGTTACCAAGTGACAAAATCAAGTAATTTCATTGTGATTTCACAGTATTTTTTGCATGTTGAATGAAAGGCTTCATTGCCTCAGTTTAGTCGGCTTCACTTTTAATAATACTGATTGCACCATATATGTTTCTTATGTTTTTAGTGCCAATTTCTCAACTTGGCACAAGATTCAAATTTTAATGCAGTCAACAACATAAAAGCCAGGTTTATGTTAAACTTTGTTATGGTAATGACTTTTCCCTGCTGGGAACCAATTACATGGAGAAGTACTTCCTGTAGCTGGGGAGCCGGTGTAAAGGGACAGTCAAACCCCCCTAAAAATGTAGGAGCATGTTTCAAGCCTTTGGTGTAAGGTAATTTCAGTCTATTTGAAGGACTTGACACAAGCACATGCCTTCCAGTGCTGTTTTATGTTTCCCCAACTTCTGGTGATGAGAAGGTCCCCCTGGAGATGCTTACTTCAGCTTTCTGAGAAGGTAGTGGAGCTGTTGTGATTCCTAATCCTGGTGTAAAGCTTATGTATGATGCAAAAAAATCAAAGTAGATTGAACAAGCGTGATGCTTGAAAATCTCCATGGACTGTGAAACGTGAGTGTGGGAGCAAGAGTCACCCAAATGAGTGTTTTTAGAAACCATTTCCTAAGGATCTCCATGGGGATGGCAGATGTCAGGAGAAACAACTTCCACTGCTTTATCTGCACAAAGCCTTTAGAATAAGGTAACCATGGGGGAGAGGTGCCAGAATACACACAGGCACCTGCTGAGAATGGAAGGTGGACTGGGGTCATCTCTCTCCAATGGGTGAAAATGGGTTATGAAAAGGCAGGGAGTGAGGGAGGTGGGGAAGGAGAAGGGGCTTGTTCGGTAGTCCCAGGAGAGAAATGGGACTGGTTGAAGCAGTGCTGCAGACTCCAATATAGACAAGAGAGAAAAGCAAAATCAATCAGGGTTAATGATGGTCCATCTCCCTTCTGCCCTCCACCTGAGAGGCAAAGGCAGAATGGGGTGATAAAGATGCATGAATAATTGCAATGACAAAACACCTGCCTGCCAGGGAGAAGTGGTGAATGAATTCCTTATTCATAGCTTTAAAGCCCACATATCTAACTTAAGCATAGCTGAGTTTGGGGAATAGTAGTCAAGAAGATGAATGGCTGGACCTCACTGAGTTAAGAAGGATAAAATAATGCACACTGTGTATGAACACAGTACCAAATACATTCTGTTTCACAGATTATGTGAAAATCAGTGGTGTTCAGAAGAGTAAGACATCACCCTGCCTGTTTGTTACTGTCAATGCAGTGTGGATGTGATTAGAGGGTGGTCCTTTAGGGAGGAAGAAGAAACTTCTTTCCCCATCTGAACTGGAGAAAAACCTCAGTTCAACTCATGGCTGCAGTAAATATTAATTATACAAAGAGGAGGGATGGCTGAGAATAGCACACCCACGCTGGGTGGTAGCCCAGTGGCTGGGAGACCTGCAAGGTATGAGAGAAAAAGGGAGAAAGATCCACACTTTGGCCGGTTTGGACCAGCAAATGAAACTAAATTTCCCCATATTTAGGAACTTCCTAAAGAAAGGCAAAAAGCTCCTGTTAGTACCTTCATCAAATTAATGCCCCAACAGCAACACAAGAAGGCAAGAGAGTTTCAATCACAGCCAAAACACGGCAAACTTGAAGTCCCTTGGGAAAACAGTTTAGCCACGTTCAGGCTCACGTCTTCCCATTTATACTAATGCAAAGGGAAAATCTAAGGAGGGGACTGAGTTCAGTTGCTCACCACATCCTGATTAGCTGCTTATTGAAAATAACAGCTTTGCCTGTTTATGTTCACCTCCCACTAAACAGAAAGTTGCTGCCAGAAGCTCAGGGTATTCTCTCAGCAGAAAAGCATCAGTCTGGAGGGATGCAGGTCTGTGTCCTGCTGACAGCTTGGAAATCTACTATCCAAAGGTTGCATCAGAACTTGTCTTCAAGAAAAGGTAAATGAGTAAATTGCAACTAAGCATCAAGTTTAGATAAATAACTCTTTGGATCCAGAAGCCAAATAATTCCCATTGGCCATAGCCTGTTATTTTTTGACGGAGACAAACAGAGGCCATTCAGGGGAGACCTTTAAAAACCAACTGGCCAAATTCAGCCTGGATGTTTAAAGTCTCAGAAGTGCTTCCCACTTCACTGATGTCAAATTGTCTTTTCCTTTCTTTATCATCAACACAGGTAGCTCATTTGTTTTCTGATCTTCATTCCTCAGTGCTGTTTCAGAAGCCCAAATGCATGGAATTGGTTCAAAACCCACCTAAATATCTAAAGCGAGTTAGATCTAAACCCTACACCTAAATCTCTAAGCTACCTGAAGTGGAAGGTCTACTCAGTTCTTGTATATTGATGTATTTTAGGTTTCCTCTTTGTCCCAGTTCTGACTTGAACTGGTTTGAAAACTTGCATCAGGAAGAGCAAGCTGCACCAGGTACATGATGGGACTCCTGAATCTACATGAGTATTCTGGGCAAGCTTTTAAAGACTACGAAGAGCATGGTGTCTGCCAAGGGCTTTAGGAAACAAACTTTACATAATAATAATAGTGAGTTCATGTGTACCAGGATTCCTCTTCTTTTTGCAACAGCATCAGACACTGCTCATGGAAATCCATGAATAAGAATAGCAATGACTGCCTGGGTTTTGGTGCCTTTTTTTCCTCTTTGTTATACATACAATCATTTTAAGGAGGACCTTTGAACCTTGACACAAGCCATCAGCTGCCCTTGGGGTAGAAGTGAACAGAATCACCTCTGTCTGTAGGTGTGGGGGTGCTAAAATCTGCTGTGGCTGAGCTGTAGAGAGCCCCCATATGGGCATTATCAGCACCAGTACTGATGCAGTGCAGAACTGAGTTGCTTTTGCAGTTACCCACATTAGCACCTGCATTGCCAGGTTTAGTTCAGATCCCACAGCAGTGCCCTCCCAGCTCAGAGGAAGAAAAGAAGTTTTCATATCTCCTCTTAATTTCTTCAGTTTAATCTCAGTATTTTGAATCCTGTTGGTGCAGTCCTCATCACCCTGTTAGATTAAAACCAAAACCACATCATCTAAGTGCATTTGCTTGTTTCTAACAAATATGTTGCCATGGGAACTCACTGTTGCTCTAGCTGCTGTGCCAGATGCACCAGCTCTCTGTCCCTGGGCTGTTTTAGTTTTTCCAATAAATTAATTGCATTTAAATTAAACATACTAAGTGATTTCTTGTCAATTAATTTGAATGTTAAGCTGGGTACTCACAAAGTTTCTCTCTTCCTACTCACCCCACAAGATTAATTAACTCCTCCAGATATTGTAGTCCATCACATAAAGCTGTGGTCTTCCCCAGCGCTCTGCAGTTGGAGTACTCGCTATCTGCATGGGAAGTAATCAGTGGCCAAAGTAATTGCTTTTCACAAGTCTGTTCTCAGCTGTCCTGTCAGATTAAAGCTCTAATGAAACTGTTTCAGCTTCCAGGAAAAAATATTCAGCAGAAATGTGCTGTAGTTGCAGGTGGAAAGCAAAGCTGAGAATGGAATTGGGTTGGTTTAGCACATCAGATGTTCATTTGTTGGTCCTCTTTGGAGGCATTCCCACCAGTGCTGGCTCTGGCATGTTTCCTCCTCGCATTCCTGCTGTGGGAGGATGTTTGGGTTCCTCCCAATATCCCTATTTTGTGTTAAGGCAGTAAAAGATGGAGAATTCATGCATAATGCGCAGTGGGTGAAGAGCATCGCTGGCACAGAGGCAGACAAATGATACAGGGTTGCTCTGTACTTTGCTCGTGTACATTCAGCCAGTGGTTGGGGCTTGAGGAAATACTTAAATTTGAACTTAGAAGGTCAGTAAAAAGATTGTCCAAGAGTGGTTTCTAGATCGGAACTCTGAGAGCTCAGCAGCAAATGAGCTTATGAATCTATTGCTTAGATTTGTAACAGGCTTCCTCCTAAAATTCAGAGGTCTTGGAGCAGAATGTTTGCTGTGGGTACATGTGCCCAACACTAGCCTAGAGAGAGGAAAAGATAGTGAATATATGTAGCAGGCTTAAAACACTTTATACACAGCTTCCTGATCTGCAATCCTAAGCTGTAAAGAAACTGACTGATAAATTAGTAGCCTACAGGGAAATCTTATTTACAAGGAAGGCAACAGAAACATTAGTGCATCTTTATTAGCCTTATTTAGACCATATGCTTGGTTCATGGTGGGAAACTGCAGCGTCCCTGCAGTAAAGCAGCAGTGTGTAGATGCTGAGTTCCAAACCGCCGATTTGCATGCTTGCCTGGACCTCTGCAGCTGCTGGGACTTCTTGTTGCAGTGAGAAGTAGGCGGATAATCAACAGGTAAAGGGAAGTGGAATTTTCTTTGTCTCCTCCAGGATTTCATTGAGTAACAAAGTTATGGAGAGTACAGAAAGGGCGAATGATGATTTTATAGCGGAGGGGGTGCACAAACTGGAGTTTGTCAGCTTTGGTGAGAGAGAACACAGGGAGGTGTTTCTGTTTTTTTCCACTGTCTGAAGGGGGCTGCAAGGATGCTGGAGAGGGGCTCTTCATCAGGGACTGTAGCAATAGGACAAGGGGTGATGGGTTCAAACTGAAACAGGGGAAGTTCAGGTTGGAGATAAGGCAGAAGCTCTTCCCTGTGAGGGTGCTGAGGCGCTGGCACAGGGTGCCCAGAGAAGCTGTGGCTGCCCCATCCCTGGCAGTGTTCAAGGGCAGGTTGGACACAGGGGCTTGGAGAAGCTGCTCTAGTGGAAGGTGTCCCTGCCTGTGGCAGGGGTTGGAACTGGATGATCTTCAGGTCATTTACAACCCAAAACATAGATCCTATGATTCTATATCTTCCAGCCTCCTTGTCCTCTGAAATCTTTCCTCCATAGTAACAAGAGCTGGGACATGCCATGTTTATGGTTTTTGTTGTTGTATGTTGCAAGATAACCCCTGTCAGAGTTAGGAGATGCTGTCCTGCACCTGCAAAAATGCCATAGCTGCACCTTACACATCACTGGGAGATAAGCTGGTTGCTTTGGTGGAGGATATCATCTATAGGCATGTATTATGTATTATCATTGTAAACCAAAATTTAATAGCAAATTCTATGCTTTATTCATTAGGGTGGTTACAAGTGTTTTTGGATTAAGCTGTAGTTACTGGCTTTTTAATGCATGCACATACTTTGCTGCATATGTTTAGATAAATCAAGTATAGGCCAATGGAAAGGAATTAAAAAGTTGATTACCATAACTTTGAATTTGATTTCCTCTCTGGCTTTTCCTATTCCAAGCATGTTTCACTTTGCAGATTGTTTTGCTTGGTTCGGGCCAGTGCAATCCTTGCAATTTTTCACTCAACACAGTGAACAGAAGATGTCTCGCTGCTTTTAGTGGCAACAGTTTCATTGCCAAACTTCCCTTGGCACCTTTGAAGCTTGATTTGTTTATTTCCCTGTTTAACGGAATGAAAGCCCTTTCAATCACCCCATGGTGGTTTCTTGCTCTCCTGTTGAGTCTGAGTTTTAAACTGAAACATAAGCCTAAGCAAGCAGGTGGATCATTCCTAGCTGAAACTTTCTACAGGCCAATTGTAGCTGGAGAATGACAAAATTCCCATTTTGTTCCTCATCATCCATGAAACAAAAAATATATTGAAAGAAATGCATGGAAAGAATCTTGGGGGCTCTATTAATGCCAAACACAAAGAAGCTCGTGCTTAGATTGTACTTCTTTGATTACTCACCTGAGTTATTAGATACATGTAGAACACCCATTTAAATGTATATCAGTTCTCCTTCTGCAATAGATAAATGTGCTTGGCCTTGAATCTGTAAGCAGAATACAGCACTTTGATGTAGGAACTGGAACTGAATAAAGCCAGTCAGGAGACCGAGGGAAGGATGAGGTTGGCTTTAAAGTGAATGGAACAGAGGAGTCCCTTGGTTAGTTAATTAACTTCAATTTCTGTTTTAATGAACTTTCTCTGATGCTTGTTTAAGTATCCAGATGCTTGCAAATATTTTTCCCCAGCAACAGCCTTTTGTTGGTGTGTTGTAAATTCTAAAGTGGGGGAGAACCTGTCTTCTGTATCGCAGGAATCACTTTAGTATTTGCACTGTGGCAGCATCAGTGTGCTGGTGGTTCAGGGAGGGCAGGTGATCAGAGCTGGATGCTCACTACAGGTGACTGGTCTGGTGAAGCTCTTCCCAGGCTCCTCCTGCACAAGGAGGGCTTGGGTTAAATCAGATTTTTTTACTCCAAATAGCTCTCTGTTTGCTAACAAGAATAGAGGAGTTGAGAGAACCTTGTTCTACTAGACCCAAGTTGTGCAAGGTGCATGAAGGTAGCCCTTCCCACAGAGGTTATCCTTAAATCCTCAAATGTTCTTCAGGAATTGGCTGAACTTACAGAATCCCAGACTGGTTTGGGTTGGAAACGACCTTAAAATCATCCAGTTCCAACCCCCTGCTGTGGGCAGGGATACCTCGCACTAAACCATGTAGGTTCTGTCCAACCTGGCTTTGGACACTGCCAGGGATGGAGCATTTACCGCTTCTTTGGGCAACCTGTGCCAGTGTCTCACCACCCTCACAGTAAAGAACTAACTAATGCCAAGGCAATCCTCTTTGCTATTTGTTACAGGGAACTCTGGAATAAACTTTAATTTCAAGATGATGGCGCAGCAATGTTTCAAATCACACCTTGCTTCTAGAGAGGGGCTGATCCAAGCCCTGGGTGATGGCTTTGCCTGGTGACAACTCCCACAGCAATAGGATAAATGACACTCCCAGAGTCAGATACTCGCCTTGGGTGGGATTTTGGGAGCAGCCCATGCTGGCTGAGCTCTCCAGCAGGAGCAGAGTTAAGCAGCTTTCAGTGCCTCGGAAAATCTCACCCAGAAGCAAAGCTGGAATAAGCACATCTGAAGTTAACGAAGTGGCACGGCTGGATTTCTCTCTGAGCACAGTAAAAAAGAGGAATTGTCCCGTGGGTGAAGACCTGGGCTGAAATATGGGAGAGCTTGCCTGCAGGGACAGATTATCATCCCTCCCACCCCAAACCAAAGGCAGATGTTTTCCTCTTGCTGTCTTTCCATAACTCGTCCTGCCAAGGACTCCTTTTGCACTGCTGAGCAAATTGCTTCTTCTCTTACATCCAAATTCCTTTTTGCAGTTCAGCTCCCACAGTTTTGGCTTTTGCTTGCTTGTAATAGAAATACTCTGGAAGAGGAAACATCCTCTGTATTTTACACAGCAAAACAGGGCTGTGTTCTCACGAACAACTACAACAGCCAGGAAACAATGGCAGTTTCACCTTGGTAGTCTGTTGGAGGTTTTCCATTTCCTTTATCCTGGACTACTTGTAATTGAAGATGCAACTGTCCTTGTTAAATGAGCAATTTCAGTATTCTTCCTATTGATGCTATTAATTGGATGCTTAATTCTTTAAAACATCACAGTCATCTGTGGAATGAACCAGATTTAAGATCCCATAGCGGAATAACCACATCTGCTGCCGTAGAGCTCACTGGAGCTGCAATTAGCCAGTTAAAGGCATCAGACATCTGTGTGTTAAGAGATTAGGTCCATCCTACAGCTTTCATTACCTTGGTGAGAAGTGGGTGGGTTAATGGAACTCCTCATTGCGGCACTGTATTTTCAGTAATTGTGGTCACCAGATTGTGTAGGGGTGGCTGCGCTAAAACTGCACTAGGGGGAAAAACGTATTGGGTTCCATCCCCAGGGCTTGAGCAGCAGGTTGAGGGGAGGTGATCCCTCTGCTGTGCTCTGGGGAGACCCCACTCCAAGCATTGTGTGCAGTTCTGATGTCCCCAACATCGTAAGGACATGGAACTGTTGGAGCAAGTTCCAGAGGTCACGAGGATGCTCAGGGGCACATCCTCCGGTGTGGAGCCAGGCTGAGAACACTGGGGCTGTTCAGGCTGGAGAAGAGAAGCTGCGTGGAGACCTCAGAGCATCTTCCAGGGTCTGAAGGGGGCTACAAGGATGCTGGAGAGGGACTCTTCATTAGGGACTGTAGCAATAGGACAAGGGGTGATGGGCTCAGTGGAACAGGGGAAGTTCAGGTTGGAGATAAGGCAGAAGCTCTTCCCTGTGAGGATGCTGAGGCGCTGGCACAGGGTGTCCAGAGAAGCTGTGGCTGCCCCATCGCTGGCAGTGCTCAAGGCCAGGTTGGACACAGGGGCTTGGAGCAAGCTGCTCCAGTGGAAGGGGTCCCTGCCCGTGGCAGGGGGTTGGAACTGGATGATCTTAAGGTCCTTTCCAACTCAAACCATTCTATGATCTATTGCTATTAGTTCAGGTGGTAGAAAGAGTTTCTGGTTGTGCTCTGTGTGAGGAGTCCTCTACAGACTCAAATTAAAAGGTTTTTTGCAGTTACCTGCTTTTACCATGATGCT